TTTTTTTGTTAATGGAGCCTTTGAAGTATACAGTAGACCAGTTTGTTCTAATATAAGTACTGGTATATATATATATATATATATATATTTGCAATAAAGAAACATTTTATATTTATGCATTAATTGTTATGGTGCAAATGACTTTTTAAAACTGGCAAAACATGATTATAATCAATAATACATGTCCTAAGACATTAATGTTAGGCCTATTATATTTCTTTACCACTACATTCGTAGTCTAGTTCCTTAGGGATTTTCAAGAATGAGGCCTAACATAATGTTTTATGACAAGTATAATTGATTATAATCATGCTTTGCCATCTCGTAAAAGGTATTCATACCGTATCAACTGTTGTTGTAACAAATGACCTATATATAAATAGTATTCCGACAACTACTGGACTGAGTGAAATGCATCATCGGTAATGGATGCGATGAATACAGTATGGTTGAATTGCTATTATTATACATTCTTCTAATTATTGAAAATTCTTGAGAGACTAGATTAAGACTGTTGTGGTAGAAAATATAATAGGCCTAACGTAACATCTTATGACAAATATAATTATTTATGTATTAGATAATTTTTTAACACAGACATCTAATTAGTAAGATTTCATATTAAAGAAAGATGTTTTGTGAATTTCTTAGTTCTCTTAACTCTTTTCACTTCTATATTTTATTTAAAAAATATTAACTTCCAGTGATAAATTCTTCGTTAATATATTTGAAAGGGAATGTGAGTAATCCTTAAGCTTTTGAAAAACCTTCAGTCACTAAAAAATGTAAGACAAAAAACACACTCCCGAACAACAACAGAAACACAGATAGTAAGGGGAAAAAATTATATGAATTATCTCATACATAGGAAACAGAGGAAAACAACACACAAGAATATGATACAAACTCAATGACTATAAATAAAGGACCTATTAAACAAACTTTACAATAATGAAGATTACACAAATAGATTTATCTATCAAATTAACTGAGAAAATTGGAAATCTATATATATATATAATAGGTGAAACTAGTATAAATCTAAAAAGAAGATTTAATAAACACTTAAAAGGACCATCACACTTAAATGGGAAACACAAAATTGTCCATAAAATAAATGATGAAAACATGAGGGTATTGGTAACAAGATTTACACACAAAATTAAACAAGTATTATGAATACAAGTACATAAACCTGTCATAAATATGTATAAAGAATGTCCCTTTTTACCTATATTGAATGCTCTCTACTGCACACACAACCTCGGTTTCATTAATTTAAAAAACCAATGTACATTCTTTTTTACCAGTTGAGGAAGCTTTTCTTCAGAAGTAAAACATCTTAATTCAAAATTCTTTTCAAAATCATAAATAATATTCAATGTTAAACTGGTACACAATTAAAAACATTTTATTTAGGCCTATCTATGGCCTTCAAAAAGTTGACGACTCTACATGTTTCAATGTTGCAACATCATCTTCAGGAGTGAATTACAAGACAATGTTAAAGTATTTATAACTTGTTAGTAGGTCATGTGACCTGTATGCTATTTTACATAAATTCACGCTAAACCTTTCAAAGGAGATCAATCCACATTTTTGCAGAAATAATCGCCATACCTTCATCTCTATTTAATACTACATGATCTTTTTTATGTTTTATTATTTCTAAGGATTCACGAATATTATTACCTATTATACTTTTTGGTTGAGCTAATATAGTTTTTCCCATAATATTCCCAGTACATGTTCTGCTATGGATGAATTTTCAGTTTGTTTTTTTTTTTACATATACCTTATGCTCATTGAAATGGTATTTTAAATTACGTTTTGTCTGACCAATGTAAAT